GGAATGGGCTGCCCAGGGAGGGGGTGGAGTCCCCGTCCCTGGAGGGGTTTGAGCAGAGCCTGGATGTGGCATCAGTGCCATGGTCTGGGTGACAAGGTGGGGTTGGGTCACAGGTTGGACTCGATGATCTTGGAGGTCTTTTCCAACCCTGTTGATTCTGTGATTCAATGACTTGGCAGCTGGGTGTGAGCTCTGCAGCTGGGTTTGTTACACAAGAGCAGTTCTTGTTCCTCCTGTTTCAGCCTGATGAAGGAGGGGGGTGGTGCCTTTGTAGGTCCTGGCAGCCCCAGTTTGGACAGACAGACAATGCTCCTCTGTCAGGAGACACATTATTGTGTGGTTACAGTGGCTCTGGGTGCCCTGGGGATTGAGATTTTGGGTGTCCCAGCAACGCAAGAGGTTTCTGTCCTGGGAGGTTTCTCATCAGGCTGTGGGTGGTGTCCACCAGCCTCCACCTGTCCCCACAGACCTTCCCTTCTCAACTCTGGGCTGGTGGAGTCCCGGACTGGTCTCTCTTTGCCACAGGGCTAAACTGGCTTTTTCTCACAGCCCAGACACGCACAGGAGCTGCTGCTGGAGGTGAGAACTGTCCTGCTGGAGGTCAAGGGAAGAGTTTAGTCCAGTCAGCGTGACTGGGATTGTCAGTGCAAGTTCCTCTTCCTGTTTCAGGAACTGGGGGAAAAAAGATTGCACCATGTGGTAAAACCCCAGATGAGCATCAGCTCAGCCCTCTGGGCTGGTGGGTGAGTGGAGCCCGAGGGGTTCCTTGTGCTGCCCTTTCCTTGGTCTCTTTTCCAGATGACCTTCTATTTCTCGGACACGGCAGTGCTGCTCTTTGACTTCTGGAATGTCCACAGCCCCACAGGTAGGCCCTGGGACACCCATCCATCCATCCATCCATCCATCCATCCATCCATCCATCCATCCATCCATCCATCCATCCATCCCAGGGCTTGGAGGGCACCTTCCCATGCCAAGAGCAGGAAACAGGGAAGTGTGGGAAGCACCCCATCTCAGCCTGCCAACCCTCCCAGGTCACTCAGTGATGTCTCAGCTTCCCAGTTCCTTTTATGGTGGTTTTTTTCCCTCATTAAATTATTCTCCCAGCATCATGTTGTAACTCCCACGTTTTTGTGGAGTCGAGGCAAAGTTGTATATTTTTTTCAGAGCAACCCCCTCCAAAAAATCCTCCCTAGGAATTTCAGGGGGGATTGGGCTAAATAAATCCTCTACCACTTCTCAAACCTGCTGCCCAGCTCAGGAGCCCTCCCCCTTATCCTGTGGATAAGGATCCCATGGATCCCAAGCATGTTGGGACACCCCCCTGGCCCCAACAGCCCCTCCCTGGTGATGGGCAGTGTTGGGGTGTCTCTCCTGCAGTGCCACAAACCCAGCCTGAGTTCCACAAACCCAGCCTGAGTTCCACAAACCCAGCCTGAGTTCCACAAGCCCAGCCTGGGT